TAAAGCCTTAATCTTGTGGGTATTTTAGTCAGGCATTTGCTTGGGGTCTCTGTTCACAAAGTGTAGCAGAATGGTTTTGCTGCTCTAGTTCTTCCCGTAATTGAGGAGAGCAATCGTTTTGAGGATTCCTGAAAACTCTGGATGAGCCTCTCACAGTACGCCACCCTTACGCCGACCTTACAGTACCTTGATGCAAAGTGATGTAGGCGGGTGGTGGTGGTGAAAAGTCTCCCCAGTCTCTGTTACAACAAGGGGCTAATCTGCCACACCCAGATGTAGAGTTGCGGCCGGCAGCTGAAGTTGTTTGTTGAAGAAGTACGACTGGTTTAGCGACATTACTACGCCTGGCAATAATTTGCCGATTTGCAAATTATCACTTGTTCTGTATGTCATTCCACCGAGCTGCTTCGTTTTTATGTTTCCATGCAGTGGTATGCTCCTTTGCCTGATCTGCCACCAGCTGACCTTTCTATACACACTGCTTTACCCGCGTGTTATTACATAGTTACTTAATGAAGATAACTGATCGGTCTACCCGGAGATAATCAAGGTGTATGAGTGTGGGTAGCCGTTCGAAAAGTATCCCCAAAAGTGTTCCAAGCCATATTTAAAGACTGTCACATATAGTGAATAGTTCATGCGGTCGTTTTCAGCCGTCTACTTCTCTCGACCGACATTCTTCGAGGTAATGCTTGGTAATAGGTCATATAACAGGCATTTAGTTAGGATTTTAGTCTCGCGTAGTCTTTTCTTCCCCCAATGGGAGGGCATGTTAGTTAAATGTTCTGCATGCCGGCCTAAACATGGCAGGTCATTTGTGTGCGTAGAGCGCACAGCACCGCAGATAAGATGAACCATATCATTTCCACAATAAAGAGAAACCTGGCACCAACTCAACTATTCGAATCAACTGAGCTTGCTGTGGTTCGGCCATCACCAGTTACGCTGAAATATCTCAACATGCGGTAGCCACCGCTTTTGCAGCGCAGACAATCGCATCATCGGTTTCGAACTCCTGTGCCGTCAGAGTAGCGTCGGCACTCGAGGACAAACCCTTGAGTGTAGTATTGTTTCGCCGCTCCCGCTTTTCCATGTAGTTGTGCAGTGAACTGTTTTCTTATAACTGTGGCCTTTTCCAGAGCAGGAATAAATTACTTCTCAGCAATGACCACAGTCGCCAATCAGAGTTAATTTATTAAAAGTCCCTGCTCATGTAGTTTGTTTCCAAAACAAGGAGTTTTGATGCATTGAGATTCGAATGCCTTTAGATCTTGAAAGGCTCCCGTGCCGGCCCCGGGGACATGCTTGACGAAGACCTGGCTACCGAGAGATCCACCGACTTAAAATCCATCACCAATACTCGGACATTTATATCCTAGCGTAGCCAGTGGATCCTCCTTATCGATCTTCCTCTCCACTTAGTTGTTTTCCAGGCCATATAGGAAAAGTATCCAAAGGCTTTCAGTCTATTATTTTCCCGGCGGAACAGTAGGTTGATATAGAGTAGTCAAGCTGGGTAAAGAGGATGGCAAGCTAGATGGGTCGGGGATTCTAAGTTATATTTTTCTGCAAAGAAATGGGGGCACTCCTGGGCAACATCTCCAAACCACGAGGTTCGGGCGTCCGTATTCGACTAGACTGAACTTCTTGGGGAGCGAATTAAAAGAAGAGAAGCTGTCGCAAAACTTGAAGCTGGAGAAATGAACGGGGAAGATAATGGTGGGTTGCTGGGCTGTGAGATCTTGGTAACAGATACCTCCGAGGCCCGCTTTGGCGGACCATAGAACCTTTAAAACACCCTGAACGTAGTACACACTAGTGCTAACTGCACTAGGAACAAAGTGACGCAGCTCGAAAATTTAGTCTGTATGTCGGGCAGCGTTGCAGTGGTCCACACTAAAACCTGACTGACAGAGGAATTCGATTTTCTCCCACTCCTAACAGGGTGTTGTTGCGTTATGACAGACGGGTTCGTGGGTCTCAAGGGTGGTGCCATACCGGCCCATGTTTATGATGTTCACGTGCGATCAGTCTCTTCAGAACCACATGAATGCGGCGTGGTCAGTTGTGAACAGAATTCAAAACTAAGTGTCTTCACCACTGGGTTAATTTGCCCTCAGTCTACTCCGCCGAACAAATGACTATGCTGACTCAAATGCGTAACTGGGGTAGAAGCAACATATGCTTATAGTTAGGGATCTAAACGTTGCACACATAAACTGTAAGAGGTTTACAGACTTACCCTCACACAGCTGCTCGGCAAACGATTCACTTTTGACAGTAATAGAGTCTGCTCTGATGATGAACGTAACTTATACAACGGGACGGGATTTACAATACACATCATAGTTGTCAGATTTGGTCTTGACCCATCAATGCGATGACATTCATTTTGAAGTCAGCACCAACGATGTCTTGAAAGACGATAGGAGCTCCAAGATCAAACAACCCAGCTCATAGAGCACAATACAACCAAGACATTGTGGAGTTACGGTACATAGCCTCGTTAAAGATCATCTATCATTTAGCGTCAAATTTCGGTTTCCAAACGTATGCACTTGATTACGATACTGTGTTCTCCGAACCTAGCGTGTGACACCCAGATATTTCAGGTCTCAGGGACTGCAGAGTCCGAAGGGATTGGGCTATCGACAAGGATTCATCAGCTGAGAAAATCTGCGATAGGTTTATAAATCCATTGAAGGGGTAACACCTCCGTTCATGATATGGTCGACCTCACCAGGAACCTTGAATTGGCCTTTGTCGCTTGATAAACCTACTGATGGGTCATTAAGACAGAAGAAACTTCAGTGCAACTTGCTTTAGAAACTGGGGTGGAAGCATCTGAGACTAAGTGCTGTAAATCGCGAAGGCCGTGAATAACTTGGATTACACACTTTCAAATGTCTCACAATAAGCAGCGTGTAAATGATCCCTAAAATTGTCCTGTTTGACTGTTCGGATCCATCAGAAGAGAGACTAAATGAAAATGTGGCAATTCCCGCCTGGTGTCAAGCAAAAAGTCCGAAAGTCCGGTGGAACCTCATTTGCCAGGGGCTGAATGCTTATCGGAATACTTTATTGAAGTCTTCTCTGTAGATCGTGATAGCGAAGTGCTCAGTAGTAGTATCAGCAATTCTCCACCAGTGGGCAAAGTGCTTATAACAACGGAGGAATTCCGTCGGTTTCCCGTTCCTCTCAAACCCATAAAATCTCTGGGTTCCGATGGTTTGCGCCACAAATTGCTTCCTTCGCTGGGGATATTGTCACCAAAGCGGTCACAGGTCTTTCCAATGTGTCCTTATCCCCGATCCGCCCACATAGTGGCTGGGAAGATGCCATAATTAGCCCAGCTTTCAAGGCAGACAGTAGTCAGCTGGTAGTTGCCTGCTGCTCTGGGGTTCTAACCCGTGGAGTTTCCACAGGTTTCGAAAAAGTAACTCCTGATAAGGCGCCTAACCATGTGGAGCCAGGTGTAATTCTGGCCCCAAAGGAATACGGTTTTCGTACTGGACACCATTGCTTAACAAAGAAGGATGGGTTGTAGCCTGTGACTGTAAACCGCCAATAGACTTTGACGAAGTGTGGCGCGCGAAAATACTAGGAAAGCTTTCCTTTTTCACTTTCGGTGCTGTACTACAAGCCTGGATCAAGGGCCTCATGTTCGATGCATGGCGAACAATGGGTTTTAGTGGGACTTTTTTCAGGTGGAAACCTACGATAAGTAGAATTCCTCTGGGAGAGACCATAGATTAGGTGGTTTTACCACGAATGCTCAACTCTTCAAGGCCTTGATTCTTTGATGGTGCAGGAGTTTGGAGAGTCACACGTAGTGGTGCCGATAGGTATGTTCTTCGAGCGGATTTAGATGAACTGATGGGGTGGTCCAAACTTCAGAGCCCAGAAACAAACCCCAGTGAGCGTGCAATAGTGCACACTGGTTACAACAATCGTTTTCAGTATTCCTTTGATACCGCTACCTCCCGTCTTCGAAATAAAAAACCTAAGTACCATCATAAGCCATAGTCGAGAACTTCCACACACTGTAATCCAGCTGCAGAAGAAAGTCCCTGTTCGTTATTGTCTGTCTGCAAAGCTTTTAAATGATTTGATCAGGATATTTTAAGTATACTCTATTCCACCTAGGTCAGACCTTTCTTGGAATGCTACACTGAGGCAGCCAGTCATGGTTAGGGAAGAGTGCTGATGCTTTCACGTGTTCAGAGCGTAGGTGCTAAGCTTGTGGCCCGCCTTTTGGATGTGTTGTATCAAGAACCGCCAGACCGATGAAACTTATTCACACCCTCTTAACATGGTAAAAAGGGTGATATTTCATGAATTGGTCTCACGCGACTTCGATCCCTAATTATCCGTGCTTGTAATAAACACACAAGTAAGAGGTTAGGGAAGAGTACGGTTGAGTGGACAAGTGGATTAGTATATTCGATGGGCCGTCCCAAAATACCTATACGTTCCGATTAGCTGGCTACAGGATCGCATACTGTCAACGCAACGTATCATGGTGACATGTCAAGTAGCGTGGGTGTCCAGCCATTTGGCTTTGGCCCAACTGTTCCGCTCATACTTTGCGAGTCGGCACTAAAGTCGAGTCTCGTCGAGCCCTAGACTATTGATTTAAGAGGATTAGTTGGTGCTACAATCCCAAACTGACCATCCTTTTCCGTGATAATGACTTCAGCACTGATATGTCTTATGCTTTCGCTTCCTCTAGCGCTGATCCTCTCTAAAATCATCACAGAAAAACCTAGAAACTGTGGCCGAATCAACTGATCGTGAGTCTGCGTTTCTCTCATAGTGTTGACAACATCTGGAGTTTCTCACCTCAGCGAGCCTGTCAGCTCCTCTTGTCAAAGCGTTCAAGGCAAAACTAAATCTCCTCGGATAAAATTACTGCCAGGATTAACACCAAAACGTTTGCCCACTATTCTTATTACTGAAAACTGAAATTGTTTGTTGTAGTCGTCTGATCACACAAACAAGTATAAATTGCTGGGGTTACCGCGGTTTACTCGAAATCTCAAAGATGCCGTCAATTAAACTTGCCAGCTCAGATGGGGAAGTTTTTGATATTGATGTGGCTATTGCGAAACAATCGGTGACCATCAGAACCATGTTGGATGGTAAGAATTCATTAAATTTTCATTCTGAACCCGTCTATCTATTTCGACTGACGTTCCTAGTTAACATTTTTTTCGGGCCAAACCAAGCTGTGTTGGGCCACTTACTGTAATAAGTACAGGGCCCTACTTGGGCTTCCTACATCTGGTCTGATGTTTCTAAGTCCTACATTTGCCTTCATGTTCAGCACATTTGATCCTACGTCTGGTACTTAATTTTTACATGTGGCCTCTTGTGTGGCCAGACATTTCCTACGATAACCCTACGTCCGTCTCTATTAGCCTGACGTTTTGCTCCCTTTGTATTATGTCTGGCTGTACACGATTCATAACCCAAATTTTGGTCCAACTTCTATCCTATTTCATCCGAAGAAAATGTTAGTTGTGTTCCAAGTCGACAGTCACTGCTTCCAAAACTACTAACAGGAGAGCAGTAAGGAATTCGTGTACATCAAAGAAGGGCAACATGAAAAAGAGCTCAGCTAAACAACGCTTGTAGTAGAGACCAAAAGCTTCGAGTACCTTATACTATCATGACTGATATTGGTCTAAGTACACTTAGTTCAACATGGACTATGGTCCATGGCATTTCTCATAGTCAATCCGTTTTCACTTACAATCGGGACAAATGAACATGAATTAGCGCCATGTAGTAGTCATCCGGCTCAGTTGTTCTCGAGCTTCTAGAAGCCGAATTGGACTAAGCCTACATCGGCCCTGCATTAGTTTTTTGTTCTTATCATGGGATCTATTTCATGGCGGTCCTAACTAGATTAATCTTGAACAACTTAATAACCGATGCATCAGCTCACCATAAAGGTTTTAATACTTTATTGGGTTTCTAATAGTGTCGATCTTTGTGACATTTCCCTAGTTTAAAGCCATATTATCTGTACTCTTCATATTACTAGAGTGGCCTATGTTTCTTTTTTAGACACTTATAATACGTTTCAGTCTTCCTGAGTATCCATTGATTTGTTACCTGCCATCTATTCGTGGTCTCATACTTTTTCAACTTTTATCATCCTTTTTTCTCATCACATTTTGTCTGTGTATTTTTGTGAAGTGCAGCACCTATGTCAGGGTCTATGCAGATCTTTTTCTGTTTTAAGCCAGTACGTAGTTCGCATTTAGCCACTTTTTTAAAAATCCAGTTTTCATTGTTTCAACTAAGTAGAAGTGACTTAAGTTTCTTCCTGGGCGTCGCTAAATTCTGAAAGTGGATAAGCATTATGCTGATTGTACTGATAGTTGGGGTGTCTTAAAAAAGATACATTTTCAAAATGATTTTGCTTTGTCTGGAAACTTTGTTGCTTCATTTCCGCAGCATCGTCTCAAGTTCGTATCTTTTTCAAGCAGTAAGTTGGTAAGTTTAGTCTGTGGGATTGGCTGGTCAGAGAGGTATCTTAAGACTGGTGCAGATTAGGGTAATATCAATCAGCTTTTAAAATGCTAATTCTTTGAGTATATATCCTACTTAAGACGATTTTTTGCTCGCGTGATACCATTGATTAATTACTCTCGTGAAATGCATAACCGATAGTACAATTGCATATTATCCATCCATCCATCCATCCAAATCAACACAAGACAAGGCATTACTGCGTAACGGTCCGGGTTGCCACAGCTTATATCAGTACATCAAGTAGAAAGGCAGTGAGGTGCAAAATAAAGATAAGAAGATTCAGTCAAAAGAAATATAAAGTACTAAAAGAGAGAAAGGAAGAATGACTAAGTGGTGAGATTCGGTGTAGCGTCGTTTAGACGAGGATAATGTATGTATACATCTGCACCACTGACATCGGTTCTGACCCATATCACCTAGAGTTTCCAACCACTGGTTCCTCTTGTCCCGCGGGCCCCAACCGACTAGTCTACATCGCCCCACATGACTCAAATCAACAGTCAAAAGTTTCACATACTGATGCCGTGTTTTAGTCTGACCGCCTCGAGCCTTTTTTCAGCCTGGTCCTACTTCGGCCAACATTATGTGTCGAAGCAGTCTATGACTAGGCATACTTAGTACGTGTCCCGACCATCTCAGTCGATGAAGAGACATAACCTCGTCAACTGATTTACCTGTAGGTGATATGGCTCAGAACCGATGTCAGTGGTGCAGATGTATACATACATTATCCTCATCTTAACGACGCTATACCGAATCTCACCATTTTGTCATTCTTCCTTTCTCTCTTTTAGTACTTTATATTTCTTTTGACTGAATTTTCTTATCTTCATCTTTCACCTCATTGCCTTTTTACTTGATGTACTGATATGAGGTGTGGTAACTCGGACCGTTACTCAGTAATGCCTGGTTCTATGTTGATATTGATGATGATGCTGACATCTACTGGCTCTCTTTAGCCACTATTTCGGAGTCTGCTACGGTCTTCAGCGCTGCTTTTACAGCAGACTGAAGATGACACCAAGCTTCTTCTGGATGAGTGACAGTCTTTTGTTCTGATAACTGCCTAGCCAACTCACTGGACACATGTTTTCGTTGTCCAGCAACACTCGTGGTGGCTTTGTTGCCAAATTTTCCTTATGTCCATTGAGACGCAGGCATATACGTGCTCGGACCAACGCATGATCGCTGTCCAAACACGTACTGCAGAAGGAGCGGCAGTCTTCCACCGATCCTCTCCAGCGATGACTAATAGCAATGTGGTCTATGTGTGTCCATCGCTGAGTTGAGCTCGGTGGACACCAGGTCAGACAGTGCCTTTCTTTATGTCTGAAATTGGTGCTGGCTAAAAATAGACGGTTATCTGAGCATAGTTGTAATAGGCGATCACCGTTATCTGTACGTTCAGCTGGGATTCCGAAAGTGCCACCTAAGTGCCTTTCTGCCTCACTCAGTCTACCCACCTGTGCGTTGAGGTCACCTGCAACAACCACCACGTCCGAACGTTTGGCTTTCGAGAGGAGGTTAGACAGTTTATGGTAGAACTCGTCCTTCACTTCATCCGAACTACAGTCAGTGGGCGCGCAAGCAGAGATTACAAAGAGACAACGGCGAGTCTCCCTATTCCTTTTAGTTCTCATTGTGCCGTTCACTCGGACAGTGCAGAAGTGACTATCAACTGGGATCCAGTCTAGTAGTGAGTTTTCTGCCCATAGTGCTTAATGCTATGCTTACACCTGCAAGACCGTGGGAGCTAGCTAACGAATCTCTAGAAACTTGAAGGGTGAGTTATGCGGATTCACCAGATTGGTCGGGAGAGGTCAGGTGAATAACCGCACTTCTTGAAAGATTACTCATAAAGCTGTCTGGTTGAAAATCGATGCGGTTTCTTTCGTTTAAAGCCGCATCCTATAGGTTGTCCACCATCCAGAACGTCTCACCTCACTATAACTCAAGTATCAAGAACGGTGTGGTGGTGAAGCAATAACAGCCACGTCGTATTTTATGCTTTGGTTTAGATCATGGATAGAAGCCATATAGGTTAAACTAAAAATCCAGTAACATTCTATACGTCAAAAACGATACACCTGCTTGCGAACAAAATGTTTTAGTTGATGCAATTAACAAAACGGAGTACTTTTAAACTACTTAGAGATAAGTTCTTTAGTATCGTTGTCGAGGCAGTGGATATCAGCAGCTTCTTCCGAACTAATGGATGCATATGAACGCATCCCTGCAGGCTGTGAGTACAATGAAGAGCGAGCGCAACTTTTCTTTGACTGGATTTTCTTTTCTTTATCTTCAACTTCACTGCCCTTTTACTTGATGTACTGATATGAACTGTGGCAACTCGGACCGTTACGCAGTAATGCCTGGTCTTATGTTGATAGTGATGATGTTTTAAGAATAGGATAAATTTATCTTCTTTATTAACGTTTGATACACATAATGCTATCTTTGAGTAAAGTTTGGAAAAATAGGGTTGTTGAGAATGGTCAGGTGGAAATAGCATGTAATCACTAGTTATATAAAACAATTATAGGTTAATGGTGTTAGGTGCAAATTTTCAGAAAGTACGGTTCAAGGTGGCGAATGATATGGTTGCGAACCTGATTGGTACACGCCTACATTCATATCTGTATTTCAGTTCATGTCTTGGTTTGAAGGATATCAGTTTTGAGCATGAATTTGCATTAGTAATGAACACAGTAAATTGCCTCATTATTCAATACGTGGATATCACTTCCATGCTGCCTCAAGTTTTTCTGTGATAACTCAGAACTGTAACTTAAGCCATTTTGGATCTTTAACAGTTGACTGTCAGTGTTTCGTTTGCCCGTTTATTTACCATTAATATGGATTTATTAAGCGGCAAATTCCCGTAATAATACTTTTCTTGATTGATGGGCGACTATTAAAAGTAGAAGCTATAAAGAGGCTATCGGTCTTCTACTACAGGTTTTTTCTCAGCATTGCTGGTGTTTAGTGAAATCACCATATGAACTACGTCGAGGTTACGCAAAAAGTACTAGTCAATGGAGGCAAGTCGGTTGATGAGGTTGTGAACCTTCACAGGATGAGGTGACTTGGATACATGTTGAGCATGTCGAGGCACCGTCTCCCTTGACGTGCAGTGTTAGATGAAGTAAAATTGGTGTAGGAGGATTGAGTAAGGCCGGTCCATTTCATAGCACTAGTCCATAAGGTGTTTGACTTAGTCTGAGCCGTGTAGGTGGGTGTCGAGTCGAAATGCACTCAGCAACTTTTGCACATTCGTTCAGTAGGCGATGAGGCACACATGTCGCAAGAGGGCTAATACTTCTATTTGGCTGCCAAGTGATGCTATTTCCCTTAGGGGTGCCTGAAAGCTGTTCCAGCTCGTTTGAATTACTGCACCTTTTTGTGAGATCCTATATTGGGGACTCTGTGAGCATTTAGACATAGGAAGTTTGGTGTCAGTTATTTTAGAATTGTTGATATGCCAATTGAATATCTTTAAAGTGTTTGTTAAGAGAAAACCTCTCAAAAGTACTGGTTTGCCTAATGGACTGGCAGCTTGTACTACAGTATTCACTTGATTTTCTCTTAAAAACAACCT